GTGTGGGCAGGTCAGTGTAGGAAGGGGCTGCTGGAGAGAGGCTAGGTCACTCGGGGTGGGGAATGTGGGCCAACCCGGGGGCGGGGGTGGCAGTGAGGGAGCAGCAGTCTCATGATGCTGAGACCCAGGCAGCAGTGAAGTGGGGCTCAGTTGGCTGGGTGCTGGGGTAGGAGGTTCCAGAGAAGTTGGCTGCAAAGCAGGGAGGGCGCCTGGATGGCTCTGGGTTGAAGCAGCAGGAGGCGCTGAGCTGGGCGCCCAGGTGCTTGTCCAGGCCGGAGACGAGGTACCTGGCTGAGGGCCTTGTGGATGGTGAGGAGCTGCTGTGAGACAGAGGTGCCATCTGTGAGCCCTTCCTGCCAGACTGTGGAGCAAACATGGTCTCCGAGGAAGCAAGAGCTCCTGGGGCAAGGGTGGTGCCCAGGACACTGCCTTTGGTTTCCAGGGTGACCAGCAGGATGAAGAGGAAGAGACCCAGATGAAGAAGTCAGAATCAGAGGTGGAGGTGAGAGCTGGGGGGACAGGGCAGGTGAGTCCAGTGGGGCTGCCACGGCTGGGCCCTGATTCCCTCCTCATGCCCCCAGGAGGCAGCGGCCATTATCGCCCAGCGGCCTGACAACCCACGGGAGTTCTTCAAGCAGCAGGAACGAGTCGCGTCGGCCTCTGCGGGCAGCTGTGATGTGCCCTCACCCTTCGGCCACCGACCAGGTAGTCCCAGGTCCCCCCCGACCTGACTGTCACTCCTCAGGTTTTGTCCCCAAGCCTCTTTGGCGCTCTTTTTTGGAAGGGAGGCCTTGCCCAGGGACCTCGGAGAAGACAAGGTTGTTCGTTACGTGTGCTTCCCCCTCGCTTCCTGGGACCGGGAAGGCTCGCAGAGGGCGGTCGGTGCGCACATTTGGCTGAACGGGGGCAGTGCTAGAGGCCCCCTGGGCAGCTCTGGCTTCAGCTAAGGCACTCCCGGCTGTAGAGAGCGGACCTGCTGGGGCTGAGCCAGCCCTTGCCTGAGGACTGTGCTGCATGTGAGGTGGGCTGGCACCCTGGCCCTGGAGCCTGCACCCAGTCTCTCTGTCGGGGTTTTCCTTGCAGCTTCCCCCTGCCGGAAGCACCCTTCTGCTCCCTGTTGGCTGGTCTGAGTGTTTGGCCCTGTGCGTGCTTGGCCTGTGCTGGGGCTGCAGGGGTGGGGCTGGCCACGCTGGGTGTGTGCTTTGCCAAGGCTGGCTGCAGTGGGTGGGCTCCCTGCTGTGCGTGGCTGGTGCTGGTGGGTGTCACCGGACAGCTTGAGGCTGCAGCCCAGCTTGGCTGTATGTGCACCCTGGCCAAAGGCAGCTTGGACACCCAGGGCCGGATGTGGGGGCGGGTAAGGCCTCAGGGTAGGGGTGGGGGAGACTGACCCTCTCTTGTCCTCTGTCTCTCTCTCTGTCTGTCTCTCTCGGCAGGTCGTCCGTACTGCCCTTTCATAAAGGCATCGGACAGTGGGCCTTCCTCCTCCTCCTCTTCCTCCTCCTCCCCTCCACGGACTCCCTTTCCCTATATCACCTGCCACCGCACCCCAAACCTCTCTTCCTCCCTCCCATGTAGGTAGCAGCCTCGGCAGGGGGGTAAGGAGGGCCCCGCTTCCCAGCAGCACCCCTGCCCTCACTCCCCAGCCTGACTGCTGCTCTCTGGTGTCTGTCCCCAGAGCAGGTACTGCCTGCCTCTTTCCCTGGCCCTGAAGGGGCACTGGCCCCCAGGGTCCTGGCTTACAGGGTTTGGAGTTGTGGTCTGGCCCCTGTGGGGCCTGGGGAGCTCCCAGCCCCCACCCAGACTCCAGAGAAGAGATGCTGGCCAGGCCCCAAGGTGTACAGTCCTGTGCCCACCTGGCTTCCCAGCCCTCACTGACCAGTGTGGGGGTTTGTTCCACAGGCAGCCACCTGGACAGCCACCGGAGGATGGCGCCCACACCCATCCCCACCCGGAGCCCATCTGACTCTAGCACAGCCTCCACCCCTGTCTCTGAGCAGATCGAACGGGCCCTGGATGAGGTCACATCCTTGCAGCCACCACCACTGCCACCCCCACCCCCACCAACCCAAGGTGAGTGAGGGGCCCCAGCCCTATGAGGCCTCTCACCAGTCTCTGTGCTGGGAACCTGCAGTGGCCATGGTAACAACTCCCCAGGGACCTGAGCCACCCAGACTGCACTGCCTTGGAGGTGGCTGTGGCAGGGAGGAGCCCTGCTGTGGCAGTAAGATCTGCCCTCTGAGCCTCAGTGTCTCTCGTGGAGTGGGAATCGGGCCTTCCTCCCAAGACTGCTGAGTGGCGTACAGACACTAGGTAAAGGGGCATCGGGGCCCAGGGGCACTTTGCATGGAGCTGTTGGGGGAGGCCTTCCTTCCGGGAGGTCGCCAGCTCTCCAGTGCACAGGCAGGGTCGGTTAGGGTGGCTGCACAGGGCCTTCTCTGGCGGAGCTGGTCACCTCTGTCTCCTCTGTGTGTGCTGTAACAGGGACCCAGGAGCTTGGCCCCCGCCTGGACAGTGAAGGGACCGTCAAGGAGGCCAGCAAAGCAGCCCCTCAGGCCTGGGCTAGCCTGGTGGAGGAGCCCCCTCAGGCACCGGAGCCTCCCCACGGGCAAGGCAGCCCCATAGAGGACTTCATATTCATGGCAGCTCCTGAGCAGGCCATCCTGGCCGCCCCGCTAGAGCCTGCCATAGCTGACCCCACCGCAGCCGACACCTTGGCAGCTGCTGCTGTCGAAACCAACATTGCTGCTGCTAACACCGCTGTTGCCAACACCTCCACCCCTGCCCCCGCTAGCCTCATAGACCTATGGCCTGGCCATGGGGATGGCACCTCCGCACCCCAGGCTGAGCCTAGGTCCCCCACAGCACCATTAGGTGCTGAGGTCACTCTGGCAGAGGTGCCCCTGCTGGATGAGGGGGCTCAGGAACCAGTGCCACCAACAGGTGAAGTCTGTGCCAACCTCCTCAATTTTGATGAGCTGCCTGAGCCACCAGCCACCTTCTGTGACCCAGAGGCAGAAGTAGAAGGGGAGCCCCTGGCTGCCCCTCAGGCCCCAACTCTGCCTTCTGCTCTGGAGGAGCTGGATCAGGATCAGGAGCCGGAGCCAGAGCCAGAGCCTGAGCCCCACCTGCTGACCAATGGTGAGACGACCCAGAAGGAAGGGACTCAGGTAGGTCAGGACAGCCTGGTGGGAGGCTTGGAAGTCGGTGGAGCTGGGGGGCTAACCTTGTGTTTCAGGCTTGCAGCAGTACCCTCCTCTGTGACCCACATTATTAGGGGGAAGCTTTATTCCATTCCCCTTCCAGGGCCTACTCTGCTTTTGTTCCCAAGGCAGGTATCTGTTTCCTTGGCAACCATGGAATCACTGGTTGCCTGGGCAACGGGCTCAGGGCCTGGTAGGTCAGCTTTGGTCTTCCTGGGTGGGGCCACAGTGACCTGATGCTTTTCTCCTACAGGCCAGTGAGGGGTACTTCAGCCAATCACAGGAGGAGGAGTTCACCCAATCAGAAGATCTGTGTGCAAAGGCTCCGCCTCCTGTGTTCTACAATAAGCCTCCAGGTATTGTGGATATGGATGATGGGTCGGAATTAGAGTGAGGTCTTGCGTTCCTGTATGGGCAGGTACCATCCCCCCTACAGAGTTGGCACAGTTCTCAGGGGTTGGGGGACACAGCCTTGGATCTGCCAGCCATCTTCTTAACTCCCCTCCCTTTCCAACACCATAGAAATCGACATCACCTGCTGGGATGCAGACCCAGTCCCAGAAGAAGAGGAGGGCTTCGAGGGTGGTGATTAGCAGTGGCGCCCGCCCTCAGGCTGCCCTTGCCAAGGCCACCCACCTGCTCCGGCCTCTGGCCAAACGGCCCGCCGCGCCTGCACTCGAAGCAGCTCCGCCTGGCACCCACTCTGGATTCCGGCCCTGGCCGGGGACTTGGCCGCTTCCCCACCCACAGGGCCTGACTTTTACAGCTTTTTTTTGTTTTTGTTTTTTGTTTTTTGTTTTTTTTAAAGTTGATAGGAGACTTGTACAGTTGACTGGTTTTCCTCCCGTTGGTAGTTGAAACGCTGTTGCATATTCCACCCCCCTCTCTGCCCGGTCCAGATTGTAGCGCTTAGTCCTCCCTGCTCACTCAGCTGGCCGGGGTGGAGGCCTCACCCTGCTTGGGGCCTGGCAAGGGGGGAGCTCTGGTGGGAAAATGCCCCCCCACCTCTTTTCCTAGTTTTATGTTTCTTGGAAAAATATCACTTTGTATTCTCTGTCCAGGGCTTCAGATATTTTGCACGAATTTGAAAACATGGCAATAAATGGCTCGCCGGCTCTGGCTCCCTGGGACCCCCTCCCCGCCCTTCTCTTTACCTCTACCCACCTGGCCCAAAGAAAGTAGCAGGCCCAGCTGGGGCCCCTCAGCTTCCCATCCCTTTCCTGCCCCTCCTGCTGGGCGGGTCCCAGGCTGGAGGCCTTAGGCGTCATTCAGGTCAGGGCTTTGGGTGGGGCCCCGGGGCTTGGTGGCCCCTCCCCAACTCTTCCCTATTTGCTTGGGTTCCTTTTTCACATTCAGTAACTGTTTTTTGGAAAGCACAAACTTCTGTAACGGGTCGTGCTCATGTCTGTTAATAAAGAAATCCAGATCCCTTCGGGCTTCCTGGGGTGGATCTGGGGCGGGCCGCGGGTGGGGCCCTGCCCCCCCCCATCTATTCTGATCTCCAAGGTTGCAGGGGCGCCCTCACCGTGATCTCGTGGGCAGGGAAGGTGGGGTGTAGTTAGACGCAGGCTGACTTTAGGTTTAGTTCCGCATCCTCCAGCCACTTAGCAGCTGAAAAGCGCGTTCAGGTTTCGCTCGTCAAGGCCCAGGCACCTCTGGTGACCACAAGCTTGGGCACAGTAGTGGGTATCCCCTCCACTTGTTACCAAACCGAATCACACACCTTTATTATCCTCAAAGTGTAACAAACAGGGTAAGAAATCCCTCCCACCCTCCACCCCCCGCAGTCCAAGGGAAGCATTTAAAAGGCCCCGCAGTCAGGCCAGGAGTCCGCTAGTGGGACCCGAGTCGCCGGGTGCCCCTCTATACGGCTGTAGTCCTCCCGAACAAGGGGATGGAGACCGGCAGGCGCCAAGCTCCGTGTTCCAGCGGCTCGCGGCTGCTGAGCTCTGAGTCGGTCCAGCTGGGGAAGACCCGGCGGCCGCGGTCCGCCGGCAGGCAGAGTGCAGGGCAGGGCGCCGCGGGCCGTGGGGCGCTGGGCAGGTGCAGCGCCGACGTGTAGCCTCGGTCCAGGTAGAGCGGCTTATAGCTGGGCGGCGGCTGCTCCTGTTTCTCCGCGCTGTCGCGGCGGCTCAGAAAGGGCGTGACGATCTTGCGATAGAGGCCGCGCGTGTCCGTGAGCACCTCGCTGTAGGGCGGCGGCGGCTCAGCCATCAGCACTGCCTCTTCGTAGCACGGTGGCTTGGACATGTCCGATTCCGCTGCGGGGCGGGAAACGGTCCGAAAGCGTGAGGCCACCCGTCCCAGAATCCCGCAGAAACTTTGGCCAGCCGCCAAAGGCAGGCCCAGCCCGCTCCTTCCGAGGTCAGAGGAGTTTGCCCCGGGGAAACGGGCGGGTGCGTCAGTGACAAGCCCGCCGGCGGCCGAGGCCCCGCCCACCCCGGTAGCCTCCGACGTAAGTCGGCACTTACCTTGGCGCGGGTAGCTCCAGGGACGCGGCGGCACGGAGAGGTGCGGCGGCGGCGGGTGCGGCAGCGCGTGATGGTGTGCGTGGGGATGCGGGTGTGGCTGCGCGGGCCCGTGATGCAGCATCGGGTGCACGTGCACGTGCTGGTGCGCGTGCGCTGGCGCTTCAAGGCGGCCGCGGTGAGGTGGTGGCGGCGGCGCGAGGCCTGGGGGGCTTCCAGCCAGGCTGCCCTCGAGCTCGAGGGGCTCCAGCTCCAGGGCGCGTAGATTCTGCTCACGGAGTCGCTCCTCCTGGCGCCGTTTGAGGCGGCGGCGCAGGAAGCTGCAGAAGCAGCACAGTAAGACGATGAGCCCCCAGATGAGCCAGAAACCAGCGAAGCACGTTAGGAACGTGTAGGTACCCTGGGACATAACCATGGCGGCGGCGCGGGCGGCGGGTCCTCGGCTGCTTCACTGGACACTGGGCTCCTCTACGTGGCCCCAGGCCCGCGCCACGCTCCCAGGCACCGACAACATCACTTGGGGACCTGCGGCCGGGGGCTGCCCGCTGCGGGGCTCAAGTCGTGCGCGAGCCGGCGGGGGACAGCAACAGCATTGGTGCCCGCTCTTTTCCATGGCGCCGTCGGGCGCGCGGGCGGGCCTCACCCGGGACCGCGCAGGACCTATGGGACAGACACAGGGCGCGGTGAAGGTGCGCTGCAGCTCAGACGACTTCCCTGCCCACTTCTGTGCCCTGCGCAGCCCCGGGAAAGCCTCCTCTGCTGGAACCCCCGCACTCACCGGGGCCCCAATGACGTCACGGAAGATGGTGACGTCACACCCCGAGGTTTCCCCGGTAGGGTTTTCCCGAATCTGAGATTCAGCCGAGGCCGGGGAGCCGAGGGAGTTCCAGGCCGGCCGGCAGGGGGCGCGAGAAGGCCAGATTCAGCCTCTGAGTAAGGGAGATTGGCTACCCACATCTCCAGGACACAGCTCCGAGAGGGTTTCAAGGCCCGCTGGTGGACCCCCGCCAGAACGTTGAAAAGAAGCCTCGGTGCGGTTGCTTGGCTGCGGGGAAAGGGTGGCTCACCTACAGCCCTGCAAGCAGCCACCGGATCCCAGCTTCAGCCCTATCCGTGTGTTTAGCAGCCCCTGGCCCTCTTGGTCTTGTACCCGCTCTCACCCTGGCTGCCCAACAAAGCCTGGAATTGCCCAGCCTGCACCGCGGCCTTCCAGTTGTCACCACTCTTGTAGCGGGGTCGGAGGGGGGGGCGGGCGGGTAGTGATTCCGGCTGCTACGGCACTCCACCTGCCTTTGTCTGCGGAACGCCCGCCCACCAACCCAGCGTGGGCTGTTCCCTCTCCTCCAGGCGCCTCCACCCGCCTGCCTGATCCCCATTTCCTCTCCTCCTACCCCCAGTAGCTGCGCTTTGCCCTGCCCTTCTAGCTCCAGGAAGTCGGGTCGCTTCCCCTCAATTCTTTTCCCTTTCTACAGAGGGAAGGAAAAGTAGCTCGTCTTTGGAACCACCTGGTCCCACATCACTCCAGATGGGCACTTATCGTTCTGACTCCCCTCCACAGACAGGATTGAGAGGGGAGCCTGGCATCCTAAGAGGAATGTAGGAGGGAACCCTGACTGCGGAGTGACAGGTGGCAGGCGACTATTCACCACCCCCGCAGAACAGAAATGAGCCCTTCCTGAATGCCTTGTACCCAGGGGTTTTCATATGCAACCCTTTAGGGTAACTGGAATTATTCCTATTTTACAGAGAAGGAGGGGGTGGAGCAATTAGCTGTGTAGATGGCAGGTGGCGGGTGCTGTAGTTTCAATCCAAGCCTGGCCACAAAACCCAGCCCCAGGGGGTGGAGGGAGAGGGCTGTGCCTGAGCTACTTTGTGGGCCTCTTCCAGGAGTCCCATGGACACCCCTATCCTCAGTGTCCAATGTACACACTTTCAGCTCTGGGGGCCACAGTGGGCTGGAGCCCCCAAGCTCAGGGGGGATCCAGGCCACAGGCCACCCCAAATGGCTCCTGTCTAACTCCACAGCTGCCTTGTGCCGTGTGTCAGTTGGTGCCTGTGTGTCAGTTGGTGCCTGTGCCAGTCCCTTTCTCCTGGGCCGGGGAACCAGAACAGACAATGGCAGGAACAATAGCTCCACCCACCCCCTATACAACCCTGCCTGAGGCTGCCATGGCGACGCAGCCCAGATAAAAACTCCATGCTGCCAGTCACTAGGAGTTAATTAAATCTGTCTCCTCGTCCTGAGCCCACAGGAATTTTCAGGAATGCTCTGAGGAAGTTGGCACTAACTAGGAGGCTCCTTGGCCTGCAAAGCAAAAACAACTCTGGGTCAGAAAAAGGAGCTTCTGGGGCTGGAGGTGATGTTTGGCTGAAGAAGAAATAGACATACCTGCTGAGGACCTTGTCCTAGGCCCTTGCCAAGTAGAATCTTGTGTGATCCTCCACACCACTTTCTCACTGAGGGGTCCCTCTGGTACATGAGGAGACCAGCTCAGAGAAGGAAATTAATTTGCCTCAGGTCACACAGCTAGTAAAGGGGGGTGGGCTACGATTTAGCCTGAGTCTGCATCCAAAGCCCATCAAAACCCCTTCCCCTACCTGACAGCTGAGCTGTACATAAAAAGCCTGGTGCATGTGAGCCGAGGGACAGTGGGCAAACTGGCCAGCTTGTAACCGAAGCATGCCTTCCTGTTCCTTCCCACTAAGGCCCTGGCCCTTCTAGCCACCAGCTCCAGAGTGGGAACAGGCTACAGGTGGAGGAAACATGGGGTGGCAGCCCTCTGTTAACTAGGAATAAAGGACAGAGGCTGACTGTGCCCTTAGGGGCCCAGTGCAGCTGGCTGGGCATTAGGCTGTGTCAGGCCACACCCAAGACCAGCTGAATGCCACTGGGGCCCCTCAGCCAGGAGGCAGGAACTACTGCTGCATTTTACCCACTAGGCCACTCTGTGTCGGAGAAGAGATGGCTTGCAGCTGAGCTGGCCCCCAGACCCCACCCTGGCGCCAATACCCAGTCTGAATGGGCGGGGCCCTGCCCGAGGCCTGCCTCCTGCCCAGCATCTGGCCGTACGGGAGTCAAGCCGTCCATCCCATCTAACCCACAGCAGGCGCACTATGCGTCCCCATCAGGACGTTTGTCCAGACCCTGCCACATTCACTCCCTGACCAGGCCAAGCTGCTCAAGGGCTCCCCAAGCAGCATCCCTTTGCTCCTTGGGCTGCTGTCATGCTTTGGCAGCCCCTGCTATAGCCTCCTGTTCACAGCCTCTCACCTTCCCCAGCCCCTCCTGACTGTTCACGGTGACCACCTGCCCCGTGTCTGCCTCCGGCCATGCCAGGTGTGGTGCCCGCAGATGGACTCCTCCTTAAGTCTGCCGTCTTATGTTGTTTTCTGTTTGTTCCCCCTTTCTTTTCTTACCTTCTCCCAGGTTATTTGAATGTGTTTTAGGATTCCATCTTGACATGTCTGTAGAGTTTGTGAGCATATTGCCTTGTACTATTTTCTAAAGCCACATGCTCCTTGGCAGCACAGCAGGAGATGAAAGCAAGGCCCAGGGCAGTAGGTTTCTTAAACTCTATGTAGCCTCAGTCCCCCTTCAATGACCATGGTGGATATTAAGCTAATCTGTGCAAAAGGCTTGGAGAGGCTCAACAAACATGAGTGCTTCTAGAGGCTTCTGAGCTGGGGATGCAGAGGTATGTGGGTCCCCAAGGTGCTCCCCACACCAGGGCTGGGCACTGCAGGTCGTCCACAGGCATCCTGAGGACTGTCAGCATTTGTCCCATTTCACAGAGAATGCTTGGCTCCAGGAGGTGAAATGACACCCAGGGTCACCTAGATCTCTCTTTCTGGGCCTGGTGCACCCCTGCAGGCACCTGCCACATTGCCTCTCCACGTGAAGAACCCCAGTTCCCCAACCTCAGGCCCCAAAGATCTGCTACTGGGTCCTTTATCTCAGCAAAGGACCCACCAGTGACCCCATCAATCAAATCCCGTCTCTCTGCCCAGTGCAGCGTGCCTTCATCTAACCACTTCCTTTGGTCCCCCTGCCACTGCCTTGGCTGGCAACCTGCACATCTCACCTGTGCCCCTATTACCATGGCCACCACCACTCTCTGTACTTCTGTGCTGGGTTCCTGCTGGGTTCCACCCACTCTCCACATTGCCCATTTTTCCTGGGCCCCTCTGGCCCAAACCCCCCAGCGACTCCCCACTGCCTCACAGCCCAGCTCTCTAACTCAGCTCAGCGGGAGCCTCTAGAACTGGAGTGAGCGACAGAGCCGCGTGGAGGACTTGTTAAGACAGAGTTCTGGGCTCCACTCCCAGGTCTGGGATGGGGCCTGAGTGTTTGCATTTCTAATAAATTCCCAGCCCGTGCTGCTGTTGCTGGTCCAGAAAGCAGATGGTAAGAGCAAGCCGCTGATCTGGATCACAGCCTCTGGGACGAGCCCCTGCCAAGGCCTCTCCAGCCTTCCCTCTCAGGGTTCCACGGATCATCCCTCCTGGAGTTCAGCCTCCAGTTCCACTTTCTCAGGGTGTGGGGGGGCCTGCCACACAGCTTTGCTGCTCTTGCCCCAGCAGTCACTACTCAGCCTCGAGGCCTGTCACTTGCCTGGACAAGTCAGCCCTGAGCCACCTCACCCCACCCCCACCCCCTGGCCCGCTGGCTGGGAAGCCCGGTGATGTCACACTGCTCTGTAGTGGCCTGTACTCGGCACCAGAGTCTGCGTCTGTCCTGATCACCTGGCACACCGTAGCTCAAAAACCATTTGTTGAAGGAGTGACTGGAGGTGTCCAATTACCTTTTAGCTGTAGGGACAAGGAACACCTCAAGACCTGGGTCTGATCCAATTAGTTCCTGGGAAATGTTGGCCATTTATCAGAAAGTCACTGAGAGGGGAGCCACCACCCAGCTCCAGGCCCTGGCGGGCTGTTCTGTACACTTGGCCTGAGCCACAAGGCCGAGAAGCGACAGCAGGGTGTTCTGTAAGCAAGCTGAGGGCCACACATCTACGTGAATGAAAGGAAAAGACCCCATGCAGGCACTGGCCAGGGTCTGTGGTGTGGGCAAGGGAGACCCCAAGCAGCTGGGGCTCTGGGTCATGAGATTTGCTGCCCATGGGGCCAGAGCTACTGGTCAAGTGAAGTGACAGGGAATCAGACCAGGGGACAGAGGAGGGAGGGGAGTGTGTGTGAGAAGTGAGGGTGGGGTGGAAGACAGTGGCTTCGGGGGACAGGGACAGGAAGGAGAGGGTAAACGGTGACAGGATAAGACTTGACCTGGGCGGTGAATACACAGCACACGTAACAAGATGATGTGCTGTAGAACTGTACTCCTGAAACCTGTGATTTTATTAAGCAATGTCACCCCAATAAAGTCAATTAAAAACAAAGAAAAATAAATGATTAAATAAATAAATAAATGGTTTATAGTAAAAAAAAAGAAAAGAAAGTGGCTGCTGCCCTGGCCAGGTAGCTCAGTTGGTTAGAGCATCACCCAGTACACCAAGGTTGCAGGTTTGATCCCCGGTCACAGTGCACATGAGAATCAACCAATGATGCATTGACAAATAGAACAGCAAAAATGGATGTTTCTCTCTCTCTCTCCCCAAAACCAATAAGCAAATTAAAAAAAAATTTAAAAGACCCTGGTTGATGTAGCTCAGTGGACTGAGCATGGGCTGCCAACCAAATGGTCACTGGTTCAATTCCCAGTCAGGGCACATGCCTGGGTTGCGGACCAGGTCCCTAGTGGGGGGCGTTCGAGAGGCAATCACACATTGATGCTTCTCTCCCTCTTTCTCCTTCCCTTCATCCCTCTTTAAAAATAAATAAAGAAATTCTTTTTAAAATTTTTAAAAAGAAGAAAGTGGCTGCTAACCCATCCTGTGTGCCCTGCACACACCAGGATCCCGCTGGCTTCTGTACATTCACTATCTCGGTGACACCCAGGAGGTGGCTGCTGCCATCCCCACCCCACAGACAAGGAGCTGGAGCTGGCTCAGGCCCACATGGGAACTCCCAGGTGACTGCGAAGTCCACTGTCCTGGCAAGAAGGGCATTTCAGGAAGGCACTGGGGACATTTTTACACTCCTCCCTCACCAAGACAGATGAACTCAGGCCAGAGGGATGATGGGAACTGTGCCAGCTGCCAAAGTCAGCCAGGCGTGGAGCTGGCCAGAGCCTCCTTCATCAAAAAGTCACTGAGAGGGGAGCCACCACCCAGCTCCAGGCCCTGGCGGGCTGTTCTGTACACTTGGCCTGAGCCACAAGGCCAAGAAGCGATGGCAGGGTGTTCTGTAAGCAAGCCGAGGGCCACACGTCTACGTGAATGAAAGGAAAAGACCCCATGCAGGCACTGGCCAGGGTCTGTGGTGTGGGCAGGGGAGACCCCAAGCAGCTGGGGCTCTGGGTCATGAGATTTGCTGCCCATGGGGCCAGAGCTACTGGTCAAGTGAAGTGACAGGGACTCAGACCAGGGGACAGAGGAGGGAGGGAGGAGCCCAGGATCCCAGGGCTTGGGGAGCTGTAAACAGGACGACAGAGACTGGGCCCCTGAGGCTTGTGGGCGCAGAGGCCTTATGTGGGTCCGCACCTAATGTACTCAGATCTGTGTCTCCACAGGGGCTGGCCACACCATGAGAGTGAAGAGGGGGACGAGGAACCCCTCTCCTGAGGAGCAGCCGGGTCTAACACACAGAGCACTAATGGGGGGAGCCCTGGGTTCAAATTCCATGTCTGCCCTGCTCCACCCTGCTGGAGCTGGGTGACCCCATCCTAGCTCCTCCCGAGTCTGAATTGAAGGCCCTTGGCCTGTCAGACAGCGATGGTGACGCCCGCCTGGCTGCGTGAGGCAGAACTGATGAGGGAGGTGAAACTCACTCCAAGACCAGCATGCACAGCTGCATTCGACCCACCAAATGCCAGCATCCTGCAGCCTCAAGAGGTCTGGAAGCCAGACTGTGGCACCACATCTGCCTGTGCCAGGGGTGGTCTGGCAAAAAGTGCCACCACTAGACTGTGGACAGGGGTCCTCGCCTCATGACTGGCAGGCTGGACACGGTTTATGGGTGTGTTTTTTGGCCCACAATCAATTTTTAAAAATTAATTAGTTGCCAACATTTAGAAACCAGGAGTTTTTACATAAAAGACTGGATTTCTAGCTCTTCGTGGAAACCGGGCAGCCTGGTTACACCTCGTCCCCGTTCTCACCAGGCAAGTGGCAATAGCTAAGCAGCATCTCAGCACCCCTCACCTCATCCCATTGCCCCCTGCGCCCTGGAGGCACTGGGTCTCCAACCACCGAGCTAGACTGAGTACCCACAGGGGCCAGCCCCGAACGGGTTACTCTTTGATACATTCTTCCTCCCACAGCCAGGCTGCAAGCTGATCAGGCCACAAACTAAGGCTTAGACCCCTGGGGTTTCCCAGGGGACTAAGGTGGACCTCACTGCTTGGTCTTCCCTGGAGATGGAAAATGGAGGGAGTGAGGGAGGAGGCCAGCCCAGCAGCAGACAGAACACCTGAAGAAGCAAGAATCTGGCTGATGGATCTGGAAAAAGGAAAGGTGTACCAAGGCCAGAAGGATGGCATTTGCTCCCTGGCAGTGGACAAGAGAAGGTTAAGAATGCCCCTCTCGAAAGCTCTACAGTTCTCTCCTGCCAGGCTCACGAGAGATGTGTAGTAGGCAGAGGGGCTGTGCCATCAGAATGGGCATTGGAAACCTCGCTCCAGTGACTGGCTCTGTGACCTTGGGCAAGTCACCGCCCCCCTGAGCAGCAGGAGTTTTCAGTTCTACAGTGGACATGCAAACTTACCTTGAGTCACTGTTGTGAGGATTGGGAAGGACAGGGGCGGAGCCCTCGCCCCAGGTCTCACACAGAGCGGGAGCAGAAGGAAAGGGGCCCGTGAACAGTCCCAAAAGCACTGCTGTCTGTGGGGTGGGGACTCGGGCCTGGCTTAGGGCACCAGCCATCCATGGGCTTCTATGCCAAGGTCTTAAATGCCCAGGATAATGGTCACCTCTGGTGCCCAGGACACCTCCCTAGATGGGAAAGGAATGCCAAGGGTGGTGGCTGTGGGCTGTGGTCTGTGGTTGGGGCCTGCGGTCAGTAGGGGCTGGCATCTGCTGAGTCAGGCCCAGGAGAGCTGACTGGAGGGATGGTTCTCTCCCCAGCACACTGCTTCTGAGAGGAGGTTGGGAGGGGAGCCAGAGGTCATTTCCTCTGACCCACTGCTATCCTCCCAAAGGAGCTTCCCTGGAGGTCAAGGCATCTCTATGTGGCATTGGCCTGCCTGCCAGCCTGCACGCCTGCCACCCAGCACAGTCTGGGCTTTGTGCTCAGACAAGAAAGGGACACTTGTGATAGAGACAAAGGGCCGGGGCACTCCCATCTGGCCTGAGGTTCAGCTTCCCCAGGTCAGCAGTGTCCTTTCCTCTGCCCCTGCCCACACTGTTCCCATCCCTCCCGGGAGAATGGCGGCTTGGAACGCAGAGCAGAGGCCCACCACCAGCCTGAGCCGCCACGTTCGGCAGGGCATGTGAGGGCGAGGGATGCGAGCTTTTTTCCTCTCCCCCGGTAAAGAACATCGTCTCTGCAGCACCCAATTCGGGGTTGGGCCATTTCAAAGGCAAGTGATAGCGGTGGCGGTGGGGGAGGAAGGGTGGTCAGGCACAGACCCCGGACCCAGTCTCCATGCCACCTTCCTGCCACAGCAGGCTAGGGTGGCCTCACGTTTACAGCCACCCCAGGAGCCCTGCTGCGACGACTGCAGCCACGTGGGAGCCAGATTGTGCCCACCGGGCAATCGCCCCCAACTCCCACCATCAACCGGCTGTGGAGGGAGGCACACCCAGATGAGCCAGAGGGGCCAAGGTACTTCAATTGCGAGAGGAGGAGTCCCTGCATCCCCTATCCCCCAGCGCCCTGGGGCTGCAGCCCCGCGTGGGGTGGGGTGGGGGGAGGGGTGGGAGGGAGCGTCGCCGCCCCGCAGCCGCGTTGCCGGGGAGTGAACCCCGTTGCTGTGGCAACCGTTTCCAAGCGAACCGGTGGCTGCTCGCGCCCTGCTCCTTCTCCCTCGCTCAGTGGCGCCTTTCCTCTCTTTCTGCCTCCCTCCCTCCCTGCGGTGGGGCTTGGGGGAGGGGCTCCCCCCGCCCGGGCGGGGGGCCGGGGCGGCGACCCAGGTCCGGGGTACAGAGCCGCTCGCGGGAAGGGGCCGACCCGGGAACTGTCTTCCGCCCTCACTCCGTGTCCACCAGCTCGCTGCCGCCGCCGCGGTACTCACGGGCCCAGGCATCCTCCTCCAGCTCGTCCTCCTGGCTCCGGGAGAGTGGCGAGGGGCCCTCGGACAGAGCCCCAGGCCAGGGCAGGAGAAGGTGGCCCCGGGGAGCTGACTGTGGCAGCGAAGGCAGCTCGGAACGAGGGGCTGGAGCCGCCAGGGCGCGCGCACGGGCACGTTCACGGCGCGTCCTGAGCCCGGCGTGCGCGCGCGCGGCCGCCAGCAGAGGGCCCCAGCCCCCCGCGCCTCGCAGCGGAGGAGACAGTTCCGTGAGCCAAAGACAGAGGACCCACACCCACCTGCCGCGCTGGGTTCCCTTTGCACAGGGAATGCGCTCGGCACGCCTCACCCTTTCTGGCAATAGACTGTCTGGGCCAGGCACACTCAGGCAAACCCAGTGCACACAATCGGCCAAGCACACGGATGCTCCACCAAGCAGCTGAAGTCCAGACCCCCGTACTCCCCGCCCTCGTCCCCCACCCCGCCCCCCCCCCTCCGCCCCTCACTGCCTCAGCCCGGAAAGCACACAAAGTCCCGGCTTTGGTCGCATGCTGACAGGGACTGCACTCATGCAGTGGGCAGGGTTGGAGCAGGCAGGTACCCAAGTGTGGCGCCAACTCAGGAATCCATGGCCTCCTCCCAACTCGTCTCCTCCCACTGTGTCCCCAGCAAGCCTACATCACCACAGGCTTACTTAGAAGTAGCAGGAGAACCATATCGCTGGCCTCCACAGACCCTACTCATCCCCAGCAACAGAAGTGAGCTCTAGCGAGGCCCCACTGCCTAGGCTGAGCCTGAGCCTGGCTGTCTGCCAGCCTCTGAACTGGGTTCTCTGTTTCATGGGGAAATATTGCAGTCCAGGGATGTCATCGTGGTGGACTGCTCTCGCGATGCACAGTGGGTAGGTTTCCAGCCTGGTTATTCAGACTCCTTGGGGTTGGACTCTGGCTCAGCAGGGTAGACATGGCTAGGACCCTGGAGCCGTCCCAGTCTGGTTCTTCCAGTCTATCAGCCCCGACCCCTTTTTTTTAACTAATATTTTCTAATTTGCAACCAAGGACCCCTAACAGGCCCAGGTCACACAGCTCTATGTGTGGGAGGCATATGTGTGCACAGTGGGTGTGAGCCCAGCCCCACCTAACTGCATGGACTGAGAGTGGGGGGTTTCCCAAAGGAAACTTGGAGTGCTTTTGTACTTGCTGGGCAGACCCCTTCCACATGAGGCCCCACATCCTTAACAGCTTGCAAAGCCCTGCTTGGCTTATCTCACTGACCTCCACTCCAGCCACTCCTTTTCCATCTGCCTCCCCACCACATTCCACACCATCCTAGACCACTAGAGGCCCTGACCACCCAGACACATCTGGTCCTGTGCCCTAGGGGTCACCAACCCTGACTCCTTTGTGGCCAAAGGGGCTCCCCTCACTAGCCCCATGGCAGTCCCAGCCCTGCCAGCTCTTGGACGGTCTCTGCCACACTGCTCACACTGGGTCCCACTGCTCCTGTGCCTGCCTACCAGGCTGAGCCCCTCACTGGCAGGAGCCCTGTCCCCAAATTCCCAGCTCCCACCTCAGAGCTGGATGGCAGGGAGGGGAGTTCAGGGAAGGCTTGTTGAGAGACAATTCTGGGAGTTTCCTCTGCAGAAATGGCAGTGAGCTCTAGGGTGAAGTGAACTCTAGTGAAGTTTCCTCAATGTCTCCCTAGCCCAAGCGGGAGGTCTGGACCCATTGCAGGTGGTATGCCCCTGGGTCCTTCCTGTCCACCTAGCAACTCACTCACACCTGCCCAGGGATGGGCTCTCAGCCACTGTATGCTGACACCTCCCAACTGCCCTCCCCTCAGAGCTATGGTAGAGGGGCAAACACATCTTGGGCCCCAACCTCAGGGGCAAGATACAGCTTCATCTTCGGCGGGCTTCCTCCACCCCGCAACAGCAGCCCACCAGCTGGAAGACTCAGCAAGGCCCTTTCTGTGCCGTTTCCCCTCCAGTTACCAGAAGAGGTGGTGCACACTCCACTCACCACAAAGCTGGGAGAGCAGAACAGGCTAAGTGGGTGCTTGGAGCCTTCTGGCTACCCGAGAAATGTCAGCTTGGTGGCCAGCACCCACTCCACTGGTAGACAGGAGTCCTGTCTGTGACCTTGGGGCCAAGGGGTGGGGTGACTGGCTGCTCCAGTGGTTTCTCAGAGCTGCTCTGAGGGGCTGGGTGTCACCCTCATCTTCCCACACATGGGAGGGGCCTGAACAAAGCCAGTTTGAAAAGTGACCAGGCTGGGACTCCGACTTGTAACATCAAAGCTCATGTGGCCTCTATGGCACGTGGTACCCAGCACAGAGGCAGAAATAAACCCTCATGGTGGTTCCTGGGGATCCCAAAGGTGCCCATACAGCTGGTCTCCACGTACCTCTGGTACAGCCTGACTCCCAGCACCATCGCCCCATCTTTGCCTGGGCCCACCTCCTGCTCCAGGGGCAGAGCGGTGGCCCTGGGCCAGGCACCTAGTAGGTGAGACAGACTGGGCAGGTTTTCTAACAGCAGCTCCCACCTCACTCCCCAGGCTGTTTCAAACCCACAGTGGAAGGCCAGGCCACCATGGCCTCCGAGGGGGCACTGCTGGCTGAACCCACCTCTGGAGCACAGAGCCAGACCCCAAGCCTCTGCCCTCATCCCATTTACAATAGAAAGCTGAGAAACCAGGTGAGTGAGCTCAAAGGCCACCGAGGCTGGGCAGCCTGGAGAGGCTAGCCCAAGGTCAGCCAAGGGGGCTCCTGGGCCTTGCTGGAAGGGCTGCCCCCAGCAGGCCCACCTCCAACCCCCTCCAGCTTCCAGCAGGGCGAGGGAAGCAGGAAGACCCTGGGAGCACCAGGAGAAAGAAAGAGGCAGGCAGGGGCTGCTGAACAGGTTTGTGCTCAGGCTGTATTCACAGACACGTGGCAGCTCACATCAGACAAAACGAGTAATAAAAACTGGCTTTAAATGTGGAAAAACCAGGGTCTTGTAACCCCATGCGACCCCAACACTGGGACCAGGACAACCACCAGGATCTGGAAGGGCTGGGCAGTCTAGGTTGTGGGCACATGGCCTCAGCCAACCCCCTTCACACACCTCCAACGCACGCACACACGCACGCACACGGACATAGGGAGGGGCGGATTATTGCTGGCCACACGTGTCTATTGTCATGAGGGAAGTCTGGAATGTTTGAGGGTTGGCCAGAGAAAACCTCCGCACCTGGGAGGGGATGTTTCTGCAAAAGGGTGTCTTCAGGAAAGGGCCCAGCGTGATACGAGGCACCCTGGGAGCTGGAAGGCAGAGGCAGACCTGCCTGGGACAGCCTGGGCAGTGGACTGGTGGGCCCCAGGGTCAGCCCAGTCTCTGGTCACACTTTGGCATAGGCCCCAGACCCAGCTCTGACCTGTGCTGAGAAGGGCCTGTATGGGGCCCCAGAGGTGGTAGCCTGAGCCCAGGGCAGCAGGGTGGGCATGAGTCTTGTTCTCACTCGGAGGTCGGCGGTGGTGAGCACAGTGCTTGGGCACCCAGGGGCCCAAGGAGCCGGGAGTTTGGCAGCGGCCCCTCTGCCAGCTCCAGCGTGGGTCTTTAGGGTGCTCGAGGCGCTATATACATTCGTACAAATACATAAATACAGAAAGCCCCGAGCTCCACAGACAAGAGCTGAAGGGACGCACCTTTGTCCCCGGGACAGCCTAGGCCTTGCCACACTCAGCCAGAACAGGGGCTGAGGGGCCAAGGACACTGGGGACAGCTCCAGTTGTGTTCCCCAGGCCATGCCTTGAGTGGACAATGGGGAGGACCACTGTGCAAAACTGTAAACAGCACTCGGAGTAGCTGCTACCGCCAACCACCGCTGGGGGCCTCAGGCTCAGGGCTAGAGGCGGGTGGGGAGCTCTTCGTCACTGTCGCTGCAGTTCCCACAGCAATCCTGGAGAGCGGGGAAGACACGGAGGGAGAGAGGCAGAGCACGCAGTGTTAGCCACCACTGCCATCACTGGGTGGCCCTGCCAGGACAGGCCAGGAGCTGCCCAGGGCCATGCTCTGGGGAGGGGACCCCCCACGAGGGGCCTGGATATCAGTGCAGAGGCTGCCAACCACAGGCTGAGATAAGGGGGACCGGGGGAACCCAGGCTGCCAGGGCAGGGCCCCATCCAGCCACTCTCCCCTGGGGCTGGTGGAGGCAGGGCATGGGGAGACAGATGCTAAGCAAGGCTAGCAGCTTGAAGGTGCTGGGGTGCAGGGAATGGAAGCAGTGGGTTGTGGGGGGAGCGGGCACCGGACTTCTTTCTCCCACATCTCGCCTCTGCCATGGAAGGGCTGCCCGTGGCTCCCCGAGGCCAGGCAGAAGGCCAACCCACGGGGAGCCTACACTGCTCACCTCTGGAAAGAGAAAAGAGGCCATGAGCCCAGCCAGGGGCGGGGGACAGGTGGGAGTGAGGCCAGAGACCCTGGGCACCTCTGGCACAGCTGGAGGAGGCCCACTCGCAGCACATGCGGGCACCAGCTGGCCTCCTACCCACCGTCCCCTGGGGCAAGGCTGGGGGCCCAGGTGGGACACTACTGGGGGTTACCTGGCGGCTGAAGAGTCTCTGCAGTAGTCCCTTCTTGGGGGGTGCAGGTGGCTGGCCCCTCCAGTCCAGGTCTGGGGGAACTGAGCCATCCAGCTCCAAGACATTCAGCTCTTGGAAGCACTCGGTTTCCACCATCTGCCGTAGGACAGGTGGCTGTGTGAGAACTGCCCCCAAGGCCACCCCCTGGAGCCCCCACCCTCACCCCCACCCTATGGGCAAGCCCCACCTCATTCTGCCAGGGGATAGGCACGCTGCCCGTGGCAAACTTCTGGTAGAAGTCCTGGTCGGTGGGCTCCAGCTCCACACCCTTCACCGTGGAGAACTGTTCGATGTCCAGGACATCCTTACAGTAAATGGCCTGGGGCTGGGGGGACAAAGGCTGTGCGGTCAGGCAGGAGCACCAGCCCTGCTCGGGAGGAGAGCTCAGCTTTGAGTCGTTCTAGGTGCTCCAGCCTTGCCTGGTGGCGCCCTTCCCCTCACAGATCTCTGGTTCCGAGTCAGAAACCAATGACACATGTGTCTCCTAAGCACGGCAGTCCCTTCCCTTAGAGGCTCAGTTTTCCCTCTGTAAACTGGGGATCATTTTCCCTCACTCACCCACCCTAGCCAGCAGCCTCTAGCACCAGGTGGAACCACTACCCAGCATCCCCTCCATCCAGTCAGTGGTCTGGGCGAACAGCCGGGGAGGTGAGCGCAGGCTGAACCTCAGCAGGCGCTTTCAGCAGGGCCCGGAGCTGCGGGGTCTTCTGTCCTGGGCTGTTTAGCAGATAGCTCCATCCCCTCATGCTCCACAGCCAACCAGGGGAATAAACCCTCCCAGCTCCCCAGCACCCTGCTGAGAGCCCACCTCACTCCAGAAAGCCACTTTGTTTCATCGCTACATTGTCTTCTACACTTGATCTCAGACAAAAAGCAATACACTTTCTTCTAAATCCTACTGTGAAGGGTGTCAATTAAAACATCATCACATAAAATAGTGCAGTTGATGCCCTAGCTGGTGTGGCCCAGTGGCTTGGGTGTTGTTCTGAAAACCAGATCACTGGTTCAGTTCCAGGTCAGGGCATGTGCCTGGGTTACCCGCCACATTCCCAGTGGGGGGAGAGGGGAGGGGGAGGGGAAGGGTGTCTTAGGAGACCACCCATCAATGTGTCTCTCACACATTGGTACTTCTCTCCCTTTCCTTCCCTGCTTTCTAAAAATAAATAAAAATCTTTGAAGAGAATAGTCCAGCTGCTCTGGACAAGTCTGCCTATTCCCCAGCCATCCCATATGAGCCGGTAAGTCCACTCCTAGGTATATACATACCCGAGAGAAAAGAAAACCTGTGTCCCCACAAAAACCTGTATGTGCATGTCATTCGTAACAGCCAAAGAGGGAAACAACCCTAATGCCCACCAAACCAATGAAAAACAAAAACGGGGAAAGTTCACACACTGGAATACTGTTCGGTTATAAAAAAGAACCGCTATAGGCTACAATCCTGATGAACCTTGAAAACATTATGCAAACTGGAAGACGCCAGTCACGAAGGGCCTAGCTTCGTGTATGTGAAATGTCCGAACAGGCAAATATCGAGAGACAGGAAAATCCGTGGTTGCCAGGGCAAGGGGAGACAGAACGACCGCCAATGGGAACAGGGCCTGGGAGGGAAGGGGGAGCGAGAATGCTCTTGGATGGTGGCGAAGGCCGCTAAAAGCCACTCAGTCATACTTCAAAATGAGTGAATTGTACGGTATGTGAATTAAATCACAATAAAGCTGTTAAAAATTATATTTTCACCTGCTACTTCTAAAAAGTAAAACTCCAAGACACAGGTTTTCTAACTGTGAAAGCCTGCTCCGGGCAGTGGGCGGTTTCAAGGTTAAAGGAGATGATGTGTGCGCATGCGCGTGCCGTGCGCGGGCTGGGCAGTGCAGGCCCGTGCTGGCTCAGCTCCACTCCCACAGCCGTGCCCACATCTCGGGGTGCCAGTGAGGCCAACATGACACAGCACTTCAGAGGCGGCAGCCTGCTAGCGGGTCCCCCACTTCCATTGATCTCTACGACCCACAGCCCACACCTCACATTCCTGCTCACTGTTCCCCAAAGGCCCCCGTCTCACCTAAAGATCCATCTGTCACACTGACCCCTCGTGGCCGCGTCATCTCTCGAGGCTGGTCCCTGCCTCAGGACCTCACTGTCCAGCAGTTCCTTCTCCTGGGAATGCTCACACCCCAAATCTTGGCTGGGTTCTCTCCTTCACATATTTTAGGCTTTTGCTTAACCGTCAGCTCCTCCAAGACCATCCTAACACCCGCTCCCTCCCCACCGTCGTTCCTCATCTTCCTAGCCTGCTTCACTTTTCACCGCTGCACCTCACATTACCCAAAATGTTTCCACTTAGTGGTTTATGCTGGTGTGTTCTCCCACCAAAACATGAAGGCAGGACTGGGCCCTGTGGACCTCATTATCTCTGAGGTCTGGCTCCTCTGATGTTTGCTGAATGAATGAGCAATCACACATGTGGTTGACAGCTAGCAACCTGGCCTGCCTCCCCAGCATTCCTAGTGAATAGGGAACCCAGTCCTCTCACACATGGGAGGGGGAGCAAGCACATGACCTAACCTTGGCCACTCAGAATCTTCCCTGCGACTTTATACAGAAAAGCCTGAATTGAGTGGGAGGATCGTCGACAGGCTGAAGCAAAGCCAATGTGCCCTGACACCCTGATGTTAGTCCTGCTCTGGCACTTTCTGGCCAAATGAACCAACAAACTCCATGCTGGGCATAAATCAGACTGAGTTGGGTTTCTGCCACTTGGATTCTGATAACTTGAGGCTATTCTTGCCTACAGAATTCCCAACCCACCACGATGCTCAGTAAATGCGTGAGACTCTACAAGAGGAAGGGTTCAGCACACAGGTGGGAGGCCAGCACCTCCAGGTTCCACCAGCCCGAAGCTCTTCCCCTTGCTGTTAGGAGCATCTCAGTTTTCCTTTGGGGGACCAGTCTTCCCCACTGGCATTGTTTCAGGCAGGCACGTGATCTGGGTATGGCCACCCAGGGCCTCTGGACAACCTGAGGCAATGCGCATCAGCCTTCAGCCTTCAGCCTTTTTTCCTCCCTTTTTGGAAGCGTTGGGCAAGAGGTGCTCTTTATCTACTGGGGTGGCGGAGCTGGTAGGATGTGGGTTTGAGCTGCTGGGCCCCAGTGCCACACCCGGGGGAGAGCTGCCTGCAAGGAAAGACCGCACAGGGACCAGTACTTGGGGAGGGAGAGAAGAGAGAATTCCTACAACACAGGTGGAGCCCAGGTGTGGCTTTTCATTTCTGGGAGCCCAGGGCATTATGTTTTGTTGGCTAAGCCATTCAAGGTGGGTTTTCTCACATTCAAACTGAAGTCGTCCTGACTCGAAGAGCCCCCAGCCTCCACCCTGGCTTGGTCCTGCTTTCAAATGCACCCCACTCACGTCAGGCTTGAAGGGTGGCTCCAGCATGCCAGCTCCCAGACGCTTGAAGTTCAGTTTCTTAAAGAGGGGGTGCTCCTTCACCTCACGGGCACTGCCTCCACGACATCCCAACCGCTCGGCAGGGTCCTTGCAGAGGAGCTGTAGCAGGGGAGGGGGGTCAGGGTGGCCTCGGCAGAAGTGCCCCCGGCCCGGCCCAGGAGTCCCGCCGGCCGCCGTACCTGGGAGCAGAGAGAGCGGGCCTGCGGGGAAAAGCGATCGGAGTACTCCTCAGGCACCTCCTTCACCAGCCGCTCCACCTCCTCCCGCTTAATCTTCTTTTTCCTCTGCTGGAAGGGCGACTGACCAGCGATCATCTCGTACAGGAGGCAGCCGAGTGCCCACCAGTCTGGGCTGAACGTGTACCGCTCATTTTTCACCACCTCTGGAGCTGGGTGGGTGGCACAGGAGTCAGGGTGAGTGGGAGACAGGGGCACCCCAGGAGTGCCCAGCACATGTCAAGGCTCAAACACCGTCCAGCCAGGGCGGCACCAGCAGTGGCCTGGTGGGGACCGTGGTGGAGGTGAGCACACACCTCATCGAGCGGAGCTGACGTGACCCGGTGGGGGCCAGGTCTTCTAACTGTTCAAAGTCAGAAATCCCCATTTTAATGTGAAGCTGTCTGGCTTATTCACTGTTGGCAACAAATTCTAATTGTTTTAAAAAATCATTTGAAGCATAATCAAGATTTTTTTAAAAAACAAAAAAATAATAATTTTGTCTTTAAATAATTGATTGGCTGGGTGGCTCAGTGGGTTGGAAAAAGTGGTGGGTTCGACCCCCCGTCAGGGAGGCAACCGCCCAACGTTTCCCATTAGATGTTTTTCTCTCTCTCTCTCTTAAATCAATAAATATATCCTTGGATAAAGATTGAAAAACTTAGAAGTTAAAAATAATCTTGCCCCAGCTAATACGGCTTGGTGGATTGAGTACCAGCCTACAAACCAAGGGGTTGCCAGTTTGATTCCTAGTCGGGGCACATGCCTGGGTTGCAGGCCAGGTCCCCCCAAGTGGGGATGCATGACGGGCAGCCACACATTGATGTTTCTTTCCCTTTCTTTCTCCCTCTCCTCCCCTCCATCTAAAGTCTTTAAAAAAACTTTTTTTTGCTCAAAACACAAATGAGGCCCGTGCGGCCACCAGGCTGTAACCTGTGGACTGTCACGGAAGGGAGGAAGAAAGTCACCTGCTAGGCGCCTACACTGCCTGCGGGGCGGGGACCTTGCCCCTGCTGCCTCTCCACCTTTGAGGCCACCCTGGCACCAGGTGTGATGGTCACAGTCAGGGACAGTGAGGTGGGGAAGTGAAATGCCGGGCCCGAGCACGCACCACCAGCAGGGTCAGGACAGAAACCACCCGCAGCCGGGGATCTGTGTTCGGATCCATGTCACGGTCCTGGAGGGAAACCTAGGGCCTCGTCTTGGCCCCGCCCCATAGGGACACTCCCACTGAGGGTGGGCAGGTCAGGGGAGTGGAGAGCTGGGGCCAAAGTCACAGTTTGAGTCCCCTCACTGGTGTCTCCCGAGAGCCCCGCTAACAGGAGCTCAGTGAGCATTCGGTGAGTAAGTGAAGTGGCTTGGCACGTTGTGTGGGGCCCTGAGTCATGACCTCCTGACTGGCAAAAGAGGGACAATAGCTCTTCCTAGTCCCTGAGACACAGGAGACTCCCAAACAGAAGTGGGGGGACTCACCCATGTAGCCCACGGTGCCCACACGGCCTTTGATGGTCTGGCCCTCAGGCACGTGCACAGCCAGCCCCAGGTCGGAGATTCGGATGTGACCTGAATGTGGGGGGAGAGCGGGGAGCCTGGTAAGCAGGTGAGCAGGACCCCACCCCGCTCCACCCTACCTCTGTGGCCCCCCCCACCCACCATGGTCATCCAGTAGAATGTTCTCTGGCTTCAGGTCCCTGTGGGGAGAGAAGGCAGAGTCAGACGCTGCTCAGCTGCCAGGCAGCCAGGCAGGGCCACCCCCTCTCAGCCTGGTTGCCTCCTGGGCGGAGATGTGCAATAAGGTGCAGCAGTCATTTGCTGCCAGGGTGGCAGATCGCCCTACCCTCCCCCTGTATCAGCCCCGGCCCAAGGGGGCAGATGAAGAATGGAACTGGGACCCTGGGACTCACTAGGCAAGTGGAAGGCATCTGTACCCAACCCCCGCAGCAGCTCCCCAGATATCATTAGTACCCTTGCTCACCCCAGTTTCGAGGACCTCCTCCTGGTTCTCCCCACAGCTCTTTGGTGGCTGCCTCTACCTTTCCTGTCTGTCAAATGGGGCTGCTCACTTGTCCCTTTCAGGGCTACTGGGAGGCCCCAAGGTAATCACCACCAATGACAGTAACAGGCAGAGCCCTCACTGCCGAGCCCTGCACACCCGGCTCCTGGCTCCAGTGTCTCTTATTAAATTATTTCATTTGGTCCCTATGACAATCTGCCAGGTAGGAATTACAGCCTCTGCTTTCCAGGAGAGGAAGCGGTACTGGGAGCAGGAAGCGAACTGGCACAAAGTCACAGGTGGGGGGTGACCCCAGGCTCACACCTGTGTCAGCCAGACCCCAGAGCCTGCCTGGAGTGGGCAAGTGCGGAGCCTCCAGCCAGCGTGCCACAGGGCTCAGAGGGGCTTGTGGCTGCCCCAGCACACCTGTGCTCTCCCACCACGTCCCCTCGCGCCCAGCTGCAGCGCCCGGCGGCGGCAGAGCCGCACACCTGTACACGATGCGCTCCCGATGCAGGTCCTCCAGGCCACAGCAGATCTCTGCAGTGTAGAAGACGGCCCGCGCCTCTGAGAAGCCAGCCTGGCCCATGTGGTAGATGTGGAACTTAAGATCGCCTCCGTTCATCAGCGTCAGCACCAGGCACAGTGCGTCCTTGGTCTCATAGGCGTAGGCCAAGCTCACCTGTGGCCAAGGGGACCCGAGTCCTCAGGCAGGACCACAGGCCACCTGGTGGTGGGGCTGGTGCCAGTTACTCCCAAAATCCTGTTTAGTGCCACTATGCGGGGGCCCAGCCTGCTTCCCGGGCCTGGTGTCAACACCCCAAGCCTGACCTTCTCTGACATCTCCAAGAGTGAGAGGTGGTGCCCGGAGGGGATGAAGGGTGGGGTGGGGGGAAGAGACCTCAGCCCAGTGTGTGAGAGGGCCGCTGCATGGCCAAGGGGTGGGGTGGGGTCTCCTGTCTGTACTTACTACAAACCTACTGTTCACTTTCTCCAGGATCTGCTTCTCGTTGAGAGCCATGGCCTCCCCCTTCCGCTTCTTGATCCGCTTCTTCTCCAGTTTTTTGCAGGCGTACATCTTGCCTGTTGCCCGCACCTGGCAGGCACACACCTGCAGCCAGGGTAGATGGGGCCCATGGAAACCAGCTGTGCTCTTGTTGGGTGTATGGGGGCTCAGGGTCGGGGAGAGGCTTCTCCAGGACCCATCCTACCCAGCCCTCGCACTTTGCAGGGGTCTGACCTGCCACTCACCTCCCCAAAGCCACCTTTGCCCAGGACTCGGTACTGCCTGAAGGTGTTTTTGGTCACTGGCTGCCTGTGGGCATGGGTTTAGGAAGCAAATGGCTGAGCAGGGGTCCACATGGCAGCCCCAACTGCCTGGCCTGCCCCAGCCTAGCCTTCGAGGAGCTCACCTTTCCAGCCACTTCCACTGCAGGAAACGGTTGAAGTAGATGCTGTCGAGGTAGTCGGCAAAAGGGGCGACGCTCAGGTACTCGTGGGTCAGCCTGCAGAGAAGGTCCAGCCCACTCACTGGTCAGCCCGACACCCCAGGTTGTCAGCTTGATGAACCAGGCCCCCCATTACATGCATGCTCAGCCCAAAAGGCAGCATCCTCAGCCAACCCTCCTGCTAACCCACCTAGGACACCTGTGTTGAAGCAGAGGATGCCACAGAGAGGGGAGGCAATCTGCCCAAGGTCACACAGCAGGGGCAAGGCTGGGATGAGAGGCTGAGCCCCTCCACCAGCAGCTGAGCTGTTCACAGTCTGCAGGGCCCATAGAAGTGCCCTCCTCAAGGTGCAGTTTTAGGCCTGCGGGAGGGAGCGGCTTACCGGGTGAGCTCCTGGAAGAGGTCTTTGCAGGGCCCCTGCTCTAGCCGCTGTGCACAGTTGGTCACCATCTGCTGGGGGATCTCAGGGATGAGGTCAGGACCCTGGGGACAGGTCACAGACAGGTCAGTGAAGGGGGGCCCCTTGGCCAGCTGCCCAGTCCTAGGGCAGAGACGGCAGATATCTCAGGCCTGCCTGTACTGGGGGCGGCTGCAGGCCAGGGGTGTATCAGCCTGTCTGGTTGTTGCCTCTCCCCTGGAAGCTGGGAGAAGCAGAGCTGCTGTCAGGCTGCCCGGCCTGCCTCGCAGGCTCTGTGTCCGCAGTGCTGCCTGGTGGGCCTGGGGCATCTGTATCCAGGTGGCAGTCACTCCTCTCCCCGCCACCGAGCTCTGCCCGCTGCCGTCACCCCTCCATCACTACTCACTCACCGTGTGGCTCAGAAAATTCTGCATTAGCTGCTGCCCACATGCCTTCCTCTTCTCATCAGGGGTCACTTCATACTCAGCCTGCAGGGTGGGAGGCGGAGAGGCTTGAGGTCTGGGGGAAGTACCAGGTGTGGGGAGCCAGGGCACACAGGCCTGGGACCTCCGTCCACCCTGGGCTGCACTCACCACCCCATCCAGGAAGGCAATGCAGTGGGTCAGCTCAGGCCTCGTCGCACAGAACTCTCGGAACAGCAGGCGCCCGATGGGCTGCCGCTCGCACAGGCTGTGGTAGTCACGCTCTGCAGGCAGAGGTGGGATCTGCTGGGTTCCCGGACCTGGAGCCTGCCGGTGGGGCGCTCCGGTCCACACCACCAGGCCCTGGGCCCCCAAGACAGCACCCTGCGCTATAGCACGGTGCCCTTTATCTCCTTTAGAACCCTCACCACAGCCCTGAGCCAGGTACCCTGCTACATTGTAGCTTGGGACTGAAGCCCAGAAAGGCTCAGAGATTACTCCAAGCTCACTGCAGGCAGGAACATAGCTCCAAAACCAGGCCCCTCACCTCCCCCACAGTCTCCCGGTTCACACCACTTGCATTTGTCACAGTGCTGGGGTTGGGTGTGGTCTGAGGTTCCGGCCAGGCCCGGGCTGGGCCCACACCTGCTGCCTGCCTGGCGAAAGTATGGGAGGAAGCTGTGGCTTCCGGCGAGCTCTAGGCTAGGCCTCCTTCCCAGGCGATGGAAGCAGCCACGATCTACTTGCCCAGGTGCGGGTTGTCGAGGGAGCCTGGGCAACCTCGATGCTGCTCAGTCTTGGGGCCTCAGCCAGGATAAGCAGGAACTGGGTCCTGGTCAAGGCTTTGATGCGCCCCCAGGGCTGAACTGGGTGGGGCTGAGCACAGGCCTGGGGCTCCCAACACCTCGGATCCATGGGCTGGCTCCAGCCCCTACTGCTCCCTCTGTTCCCTAGGCTCTGCTCCTCTCAGACTGCTCCAAATGTGACACTGTCCTGCTCCCTGCAGTCACCCACCTGCCCCCTGCTGTCCCTTTTGCATTCTGCCCTCCACCCATCACAAGCCCAGGAACTGAAACCGGACTGGGTGGCGCAGGCTCAGCCTGCCCCCGGACCCCTAACCTTGCCGCTCTGCCCCAGGGCGAGGTCTCAGGGGAGGCTCCCTGGCACCAGCAGGTCCTCCTCGCCTCAGCACCCGGTCCCCACCCAGGCCTCACCGAGGCTGAGCCTTAGCTCCTCGCACTGGCTGATGTGGGGGAACTGCAGCATCTGTCGCCATTTCTTGCTTTTGCCTTTGCGATTCCCACTGCCACCTGTGGAGGCAAGCAGGCAGGTGCTGAGTCTGGCCACCACCACACCTCCCCTCCACCCTCAGTACGGTCCAGAGGCCTCAGGACCCAGCCCAGGCACGGCTCACTCCCTCCCTCCAGGCGGCACCCGGGCCTTCCTTCCACAGGCTCCAACATACCCTCCCTGGGTTCCAGGACACAGGACACACATGCTCCCCTATGCCCTCCTGCTAGGGGTCCCTGGGCTGCAAGAACCGAGAAGATAGTACGGACAGGCCACTGGGGGAAGGGTGGGGTTTTGAGGCAGCCTCGATCAGCCTGCTGGTTCCTAGCAGGTCGGGTTTCCCAGGCAAAGAAGGTAGAAAAAAACATGACAATGGAGGGACCTGTGTAAGTCAACACCTAGAAGGGAGAGATTCTAGGACATATGGGACATGCCTGAGAGCTGCCAGAGCCAGAGAACAGCCTGAGTCACTGGGCCCTGCGTCAGGGCTATCAGACACTCAAATAAGGTGGTAGTGGGCGGGGGGGGGGGGCGGTGAGGGGTGGCACTCAGGGTGTGCACCCCTGAACACATGGGCTTCCCTGGCCCTGATACCTGCCTCATTTTACCCAGTTGACCCCTCAACTGCGGCTGCTGAGACCAAGGTAGCAGCCCAAATGCCTACTACAAAGCCAGACATGTACAGTGAATGTGGACCAGATGGGCTACAACAGGGACAGGTGGGGAGTGCGGTGAATGGAACCAGGCCTGCCCGTTCTGACAGGGGGAGCTGCAGCACAACTTCAGCTGTGGCTGGGTTGCTGCTAAGCAGGAAGGCTGGCTCAGTGTGGCCAGCTCTTCTGATTTCTTAAAAGCCGCTAGGAATCCAAACTGTTATGTGAAATACTGATTCCTATTTTTTAAAAACTCCCACTGCAGCCAAATAAAACATGTGCAGAGAGCTAGCCAGATGTGACCCCTGGGCCATGAGGTTGAGAATGGTGGAAGGGGCCTGAGCCTCGGAGTCACAGACCTTGGCTGGAATCTCCAGTTCACACTCTGGGCCCATCACTTTCCCACTGTAAGCCTCAACTTCTCCATGTGTACTTCGGGTCCAAAGCCACCTCCAGGGGTGTTGTGAGGGTGACTGGCAGAGCCTGTGTCCAGCACCCAGTAGGGTTGTGGCAACAACGGGTGGCCCCCAAATCCAACTGCTCAATGGCAATCTCAAGCTACCACTGTCCCTTGCCTGGTCTCAGTTCCCCCTCTGGTTTGCCCAGCCTTGTTTCCATCTGGCCTTGCTGAAGGCAAGTGCTGCAGGGGAAAGGGGCTGCCTTCTAGGGAGGGAGCAGGGCTGGGTCCCTTGATGTGCTTCTTGACCCAAGCTGCCCAGAGGAGGAAGTGTCGTTGCAGGGCACCCATTGGGAAACCCACTAGCTGCCCTCCTGCAGCCTGCGCCCAGCACATCCCACAGTCATTGCTCCACTGTGAGTAAGCAACAGACCCCCAACCCCGCAAGGCCTCCCCAGAAGGGGAACTCCTCCCCCACCCCCACAGGTCCCTCCCCCAACCCTCCATCCGCCTACCTCCCCCATCTCCCCCATCGGTTACTTCCTCCTCCCCCTCCTCCCAGCCACATTAAGGCAGCAGCAGAGTCACATGCAAATATCCTGTTCTGGAACTGCCACCAGAGTCAGTGGGGCTCCTCCCCAGCGTAGATGGTCCCCTTGCTGTGCCTCTGGGCACCTGAAAAAGGAAGGGCTATACAAGGGCTCACACCCCCAGGGCCATCCCATTTCACCCCACAGCAGCTCTGCCTGACTTGCCCAATTTCATGAGAAAACAGAGACCCTGAAGTGAACTAAGTTGTCTAAGACCACAAACCTGGAAGTACCAAAGGAAGGATTTGAACCCCGGTCTGAACACATACACCAAGGGTTCTCAAACCACTTAGGGCCTCAGATCACTTGGCAAGCTGGCAAAGGCCTGGCCCCAAGCTGCTGGCCAGCTCATGAAGGGATTCTGATGCAGCCAGTCCATGGACCAGGGTTTAGACTTGGGGACAATCAGGATTTCCTTTAGTTTTCATGTCCTGTCCCCAAACACAGCACAAAAAGGTTACTAAAGTTCATAGAGAAGAGATGTGTGTAGAGCCAGGCAGGTGGGAAGGCCAGAGCCAGGTGGGGTGAAGGCTCCCCAGGGGAGGTACAGGTCCCCAGACTGGCCATACCCCTTATGCCTCACCCGCACTCTGGCCAGGCAAGGCAGCGCTCTCAGCAAGACTGAGGCCTGAACTGGCCACATCCCTGGGAGGAAGGCCTGGCCAGGCTCTCCTCACCCCTCCTCCCTGGCTTGCTGGATGACAAGGCAGAACAGAATCGGCAGATGCCCCCAGAGGCTGGGAGGAAGGCCCGGTCCCGGACTCGATAAGGGGGACACGAGATAAGGAAGGCTCTGGGCACTGAGGACCCAGCTGGCCATGCCCATGGCCAGGCAGCACCTTCCTGGGGTCAATGCCCCATGGGCAGGCAGAAGATACCAGACGCTGGACCAGCTGGGGTCTCTTCTGGGTTTCCTACGGGCTGTGTAGGGAGCATCTTGTGTCCTACACCTGGGTCAGCCACAGACTTCCTATGTGACCTGGGGGGCAGTCCCTGCAAAGTGATGCAAAAAGATGAAGCAGAAGACTCTTTCAGCCTGGAAGCCCAGCAAAGAAGGGAAAAACTGTCATGACCTCCCTGTCTTAGAGTTCCAGAAAGAAGGGTCTTGTTCACCGCAGGCCACCCGCACCCTGTACAGGACACAGCACAGAGTGGGTGTCTGGTGATTAAGTTACCAAGATGGACAATAGCAGGTGAGGGGCAGACCGATGGCCAGACAGTGAGGACCAGGTCTGGCCCTTCTGTGTCCCCAAGGACACTCTAGAGCAGATGCCTACTAACATCTGGGGTGGCAGCCGTGAGGAGCTCCCTGCGCCAGGCCTTGCATGTACAGCCCGGCCAGCCCAGCAAGCTCTCTTCTCTCAACGCTGCCTCGCTTATTTCTGTGCCTGTCTCCCCCACTAGACTGTGTGCTTCCTGAAGGCAAAATTCGTGACCCATTCACCTCTGTCCCCAGTGTCATGAAGCCCTGAGCAAGTGGCAGTCACGTTGGTACCATATGTGACCAGCAGTTTCCCCAAGTCGGATATTCCTTCATTCATTCTCCAAACCTTTACCCTGTACGCACTTTGTGCGGGTCCAGGCTGTGCGCCGGGGCCTGGGACCGGGGCACGTGGGGGTAAGTTGCCCCTTCTAGAGGCATCTTCTCACCTCTCTCCTGGGAGAGGCCTCAGAGCAGGTCTCCCGGGTCTCAGGTCCCACCCTTCCCTCTTCCGTTCTCTCGGTTCACCAGACCAGCTCATTCACCCCTTCATTCTAGCCCGCCGCGAGGGCGGCGGCCTGACCCCCGCCCCTTCCTGGGCCCGGGCTCCAGCGGGCAGGTGCGGAGGAGGACGCCGGGCCGGAAGGACTAGTGTCTGCGAGGGGTGCGGGGCGCTGGGCGCGCTGCCCTAGGGGATGGGGTAGCGGAGTCTCCCCGCGGAGCTCAGAGGCCGCGCGTCCGCGCTCTTCGCACCCGGCCGCCCTCCCGGACGTCTCACCTTCCCGGGCCTTGAGAAGCACCGTGTTCGCTACGATGTTTTCGAGCTCCATGGGCTGCGGCGCCTCAGGGCCGCGCCGCCGGCCGGGATCGCGCGCGGGAGCCGGGGCCGGATGGCGATCGGCGCGGCTCGGCTCGGCTCGCAGTGACCGCGCCGCGGCCTCCCGGGCCTCCGGGCCGCCGCCGCCCGCAGCGCACTCTCTGCCCCCTCCCGGGGGCCACCCTGTTGCCGGCCCGCCCCACCCCACCCTCTGTTTACTTTACTTGGCCAATAATCGGGCGGGCACTCCCCGCGCCGTCTTCCCATTAGACAACCTTTTCATCTTCCCCCGCCCCCGAAGCCAGGGATTCGCTCAAAAGAGTAGAGAGGTGGGATTTAGTACGTTACCTCTTCCCGGTTGGTTTGCGGTGGAGTTCGGCCCCTAGGTTCGAATTTCTGGGCCTTAGTAGGTTACCGGACTGCCAATTAGGGCCGAGCCCTCAGTTGGGACACGGAGGTGTGTTCTCTGGGTCTCGCCCGGGAGGCCGGATATTCAGTCGTGCTCAGCAGTGCACTCAGATTGGGCCACCAGATAGGGGTGTGGCCCGGGTCCCTTTGGCTCGCCTAGGTTTTTCTAGGGTTTGTAGGGAGGGGTACACTTAGAATCTTGGGCCTCTGCGGCCGAGCTGCCAGCTGCTTTGGGCTGCATTCCTTTGGGTCAGCCCATCCTGGGAGGGCGCACAGCGGAAGCGGAGAGAGGCCCAGAAGAGGCTGAAAGCCTCCCCAGCGGTTTCCCGGTCTCTGGCTCGGCCGCTGCGAATGCCCCCGCCCCACCCCCGCATCCGGATGTTGTGATTTCTCTCCACCCACACGGCCTCTCCAGCCCTCCGCATCTGCCGCCTTATAAGGCAGCGCTACCACCCCGAGACATAGGGATGAGGTCACACCCATTACACAGGTGGGAGCTGAAGCGCCAGAGGCCCAGATGCTAGTGAGAAAACAAGGCCAAAGTTTTACAGCTGATCACCTTCTAGTTTAACATCCTACCCCCTCCACCCCTACTTCACACACCAGGAAATGGAGGCTTGCCCAATCCCGGTTCTGCTTGCGAATAAGGCAGAACCAGATTCAACTGGGCTTTTTCTCTACAAAATAACGTTCCTGTCCTTTGTTTTTTTTGGATTTGCCCATGGTTTTGATGTGATATGCTCGTCCTGAACTGCAATTCTCTACTACTCCTGAATAAACTCCCCTCTTTGGTAAAATGGCTGGCTGTTTTATTTTTTTACGACAGCAAGCAAAATAAGAGTGAAGGGGAATGCCTTAGAGTATGACAAAGTTCTGGGGAAGAGTTCAAGTAGAGGCAACCAAAAGTGCAAGGGCTCTGAGCCTAGAGTTGGTCTGGTGTGTTCAAGGAGCACAGCTTCAGGGCCCAGGGGTTGAGAGTGAGATGAAGGAACGAGGACATTGGCTAGATTGTGGAAGGCTTGATAGGCCATGGTAAGGCGTCTGTGTTTCTTCAGTGCAACATGAAGCCTTTGAAAGGACGATTAATACTTAAAAAGATCACTCCAGCTAGTGGACTGTAAGGGAGCTGGAGTGGAACCAGAGGTATGGTCGGGAGACTACAGAACCCCAGCAGAGGTCACGGTGGCTTGGGCCGAGAAAGTGGGTGGCGGTGGGTGTGGAGTGGTGATGTTCATGTTTTCTTCATCTCAGGACATGAGCTAAAAATATATTCTGCAGCACACCAAAAACTATATTTTTTTCTGATCTTACAAAAATAGGTATAATTTTGATTCATTAACATCAGATGGCTATTGTGTTGCCTGTTGTCATTTTTTTATTTGACAATCTAAGGCAGCAGTCCCCAACCTTTTTGGCACTCAGGACTGGCTTTGAGCAGGGGTGGGGGAACAGGAGGCAGAGCTCAGTGCCTGCCCCTTCTTAACTCCTGATGCGAGGCCCGGTTCCTAACAGGCCTCTGACCAGCGCTGGTCTGCCGCTCAGGGGTTGGGGACCCCTGGTCTAAGGGAAAAGAGGTCAGTGCCCCTGACTATATAGTTAGGTATTGTATATTTTAAAAATTCTTGCAGCACACTGGTTGAAAACTGCTGATATGAAAGAAAGTGCATAGATCTGAGACACATTTGGGAATAAAGGTAAGTCCTTTAGCAAGAGGGAAATCCCCTTTATTTAGGAGGACAGAGGGCAGGTGCCTCGCCCAGTGAGGGCTACTGTGTCCAAGTGAGATCTGAGAGTTAAAGAAGAATGTACAGGTTTCAGCAGTAACTGGAGTGGGGAGGGAAAGAGCCTTCTGGACAAAGGGCCAGCACATATGCACAGCTCTGCAGAAGGAGGCAGCAAGGGCTTGTGCACTTGGCCCCTGACCACAGAGCACTGGGCTCAAGTTCCAGGTGCACACTGGAGTACGCGGGGGCCCGAGACATGAGGCCAGGCCGTGGAGGGGTCAGGATCAGGGAGGTCTTTGGAAGCCAGCTAAGAGTTTGAACTTTATTTTTAGGGTAGCGGGGAGCTGTCGAGAGTGTTTTAAGCTGGGGAGCAGTGTGATCAGATTTGCTGGCTCAGGTCACTCTGGAGGACCTACTAGGAGTGGGGATCAAGGGCTGGGAGAGAGGGGCTGAGGCTGCCTTGCAAATCTCCTGTTCTTTTGGTGCCCAGCATCCAAACACTCCTCCTCTTTAGGAGGAGACCCATGAAATGCCATGCTTTCCACTATGGAAACCAAAGGGAAGGCAGAATTTCCTCTCTAAGCTCCCTTGTCACTGATGCATGTTTTCAAGTCTTCCAGATAGGTATTTGTATCCAAAGCAAGCAATGAACATTAAGTCATCAGTGGGATGGGTTAGGATTCACTATGAAGGCAGTGGAAACGGAGGGGGAGGTGGGCAAGCCAAGCTTCTTCTGGAGCATGAGGATTCGGTAAGCCCCCAGGAACAATCAATTTTTTGTCTGCCTGTTGCCCAGAATTGCCTTCTGTTGTTTGCAGCCTTGAGTAACACAGGCGAGAGGCCTTTGAGGAGGAAGTGTTAGAAAGAGGAATGACAGCGCCCCGTGTGGGTCAGTGGCCGGGAGCTACAAACAAGCGACCAGGTTGAGAGTAACCTTGGAGCTGGGATAAACAGGTCTTGGAGATAGATTGACAAGGGGTGAAGAGGGGGAGGGGTCACACCTAAGTCTCAGGTTTTGGCTCTTCAACCCATTCTCCATCCACAGCCAAAGCGGTCTTTTTAAAAGGGGAAGTTGCCACTCACCATCTGAGATTCACGTTTCTAGGAATTTATCCTACAAATATAATTGCACACGAGCAAAATAAGAAATGAACGTTCAGGATTATTTTTTGCAACACTGTCCAAAAAGATGAAGTGCATTAATTATCCTTTTTGTGGGGGTTACCAAGTTACTTTTTGAAGGAATGGTACGCATGGAAGAGCGTAAGTAAGTAGGTGATTTGATACAACCTACAAAGACGGAAGGCAGCCCTAGTGTGGATGCGCTGCTTTGGGGACCAGGGAAGCCACAACCCCCAACCTGACCTGTGGCTGTGGAAGCTGGCCTGGGGCTTAGCTCTCCTCAAAGAGATAGATGCTCTACCATGCAGCCTGGGGAGCGCCTCTGCTGTGCAAGCTGGTCACAAGATCACCCAATTCTTTGATGGATTTTGCCTGCTCATTCAGGTAATGAGTCTCCAGGAAGTCACACAAATGGGGGTCTTTTTTGTCAGCGGCCAGTTCGTGCGGTTCCTGTAGTGTGACTCACACATTTTTCTGAGTGTAACACACACTTCACTGCGTTCAGCTCATTCTCCCAGTCGTCACAGTCTGGTTTCTCGGTATCCTGAAGGGAGACTGGCCAGTCACCTCGTTGGTTCTGCAGCTTCATCAGTCTCTCAGCATGTTCCCTCTCCTCATTAGATGGGGCAAAGTTCTTCAAAGCCACATCGTCACGTTCACAGAATAAGACAGGGACAGGTAGACATGGAAGGCGTAGAGCCCTGACAGTCGATGGTTTCCTCCATGTCCTGGTGGTACCATCTGGGTGGGTGGCAGGGGCCTCGGGGCATCTGAGGGCGCCTCATGGAGTGGAGGAGGAGGGCTGGCCCTCAGCGGCCCGAGGGGATGGGAGATGGTGCTGGGTCTAAGCACCATTGAAGCAGGAAACTTGTGGCTACTCTCTGCCAAGACTGCTCTGCATTAATTGATCTTTTTTTTTAAGTAGAAGAAAATTTATAACAAAGATCTGAGTACAAATAAGTAAAACAAAAAATAAGATAATGTCTAATAAAGAAAAACCTGATTCATTGAAAAATAAATGAAATGGACAACCCAATAGTAAGACTCATCGAAGAGGGAACAAAAATGAATAAAATAAAAATATTTTTTTCCATTGTTGTTCAGTTACAGTTGTCCCCATTCCCCCCACCCCGTTGTTCTCTCCTGCCCCATCCAACCCCCGCTCCCAAGACAATCCCCACCCCATTGTCCTTGACCATGGGTCCTTTGTACACGTTCCTTGACCTGATCCTTCCCCTTCTTCTTCTTCTTCTTCTTCTTCTTCTTCTTCTTCTTCTTCTTCTTCTTTTTATTTTATTTATTTATTTTTAGAGAAGGGGAAGGGAGGGAGAAAGAGATGGAGGGAAACATGCAATGTCTGTGGTTGCATCTCTCGTGCCCCCTACTGGGGACCCGGTTCACAACCCAGGCATATGCCCTGACCAGGAATCGAACCACGACCGTTTGGTTTGCAGTCAGGTGCTCAATCCACTGAGCCGCAATCCACTCCTTCTTAATAGTGACTTTAAGGTACAGGAATACTATGTACCTTAAAAATAAAAAAGTGTGCAGCTGCTCTTCCTGCCCCGATATAGACCATCTCCAAAATACACCATTAAATGAAATAGCAAAGGGCAGAGCAGTGTGTAAGGTTTGCTACCATTTCTGTGGAAAGGAGCAGGATATGCTAGCCTAAGCTCCAATAACGAATAATCTCGAACTTTCAGTGACTTAAACCAAGTTTACTTCTCAGGTTCACACATGTCCAGTGGAGGTTGCTGGGAGGCAGAGAGAGACCTCCACTCAGAGTCGTCCATCAGGGACCTGTGGTGATAAGGGCTCCATCTCAATTTGTGCTTCCACCACAGCTGTGAAAGGAAATGTGAATCCCCTGTGGCCTTGAAGGCTTGCAGGCGGAAGTGAGGCAAGTCCCTCCTGTGGC